CCTTATTTTTCTAAATTTAAACTAGTCTTTTATTTCTTTATATTGCCTTGACTTCTTCTCCATATGAAAAATCTATGTCTACATTTTTTAGTCTCTCTTTTTTGTTTTAATGTTGTCATCTTTTACATATTGACATGTTTCCCTGTTTTCAGTGTTTTAGCTTTGATTTACTTTTGTGACTTCCCTATCTGGGTTGATATCTGGTTGCTCTGTCCTGTCTTCTAGTCTTGAGTTGTTATCTGATGTTACTGATTTTCTAAACGGAGGACTCCCTTTAGTATTTCTTGTAATTTTGGTTTGATTTTTGCAAATTCCTAAACTTCTGTTTACCTGGAAATGCCCTAATTTTGCCATCATATTTGGGAGACAGTTTTGTTGGATATATAATTCTTGGCTGGCAGTTTTTTCCTTCAGTGCTTTATATATGTCATCCCATTGCCTTCTTGCCTGCATGGTTTCTGCTGAGTAGTCCGAGCTTATTCTTATTGACTCTCCTTTGTCGATGACTTTTTGTTTATCCCTAGCCACCCTTAAAATTCTCTCTTCATCTTTGGTTTTGGCAAGTTTGATTATAATATATCTTGGTGACTTTCTTTTGGGATCTGCCTTATGTGGGGTATGATGAGCATCTGGGATAGATATCTTGTCATCTTTCACAATATCAGGGAAGTTTTCTGCCAACAAATCTTCAACAATTCTCTCTGTATTTTTTGTTATCCTCCCTGTTCTGGTACTCCAGTCCCTTGTAGGTTATTCCTCTTGATAGAGTCTCACATAATTCTTAGGGTTTCTTCATTTTTTTAAATCTTTTTATCTGATTTTTCCTCAAATAAATTGGCATCAAGTGCTTTATCTTCAGTCTCACTAATTCTGACTTCCATTGCCTGAGTTCTGCTCATATGACTTTCTGTTGAGTTGTCTAATTCTGACATTTTATTGTTAATCTCCTGAATTTCTGATTGCTGTCTCTCTGTGGATTCTTGCAGCCTGTTATATTTGTCATTATGCTTTTCTCTAATCTTTTTAATTTCCTCTGTTGCGTGTTCTGCATTTTGCTTAATTTCCTTCCTAATTTCTTGAAGAATTCTGTATATTAATCTTCTGTATTCTGCCTCCGGTAATTCCAAGAAATTTTCCTCCTTTGGAAAATTTCTAAATTCTTTATTTTGGGAGCTTGCTGAAGCCATCATGGATTGCCTGTTTATGTGTTTTGTTATTGACCATTGTCTCCTAGCCATCAATAAGTGATTATATTTATTTATTTTTTGTTTGCTTACTGTGTCCTAGCTTCTTGTTTTGTTTTGATATGCCCAAATAGGCTGCTTGTAAGTGCTAGTTTGATTATTGGCACCTTTGAAGCTTAATATCCTGTCACCAGGTAGTTAGATCTGTTACTAGGTATGTGAGCTCAGGAGTCCACCCATGCCTACTGTACGGATTCAGCTCAGGTGCCCAGGTAGATAGCCACCAAGTGTGTGGTGTAGGCTCTCACTTATAGTCCTAGACAGGCATCGGTGATTGGTGTAGGCTCAGGCACCTGGCTGCAGCAGGGGGACACAGTCTTAGCAAGGCAGGGGTCTGACAGCTGCCCCTGAGTGTCCAGGAGGAAGGTGTGTCCCTGTTCCCTAGAGTGCATAGGTGAGTGGGTTTTGCAGCCAGACTATGAGCATCTAATGCTGTTGGCTGTAAGGACAGGGGGCACCTCTTATTCATGGGCCCCTATCACAGGTGGCTAGGTGGCGTGG